ACAACGCATTTATCTGGCATTTTCAAGATTTCTGACCTTCCGAAGCGAAGCAAACGCGGTTCCAAACAAGAAAGCGATCAATGGCCTGGAATGACGTCACAAGTTTCGCTATACCCAGACCCTTTTCAGTGACTCTGTGACTCGGTCGTGTTTTGAAAAAGTGCCATTTTTCCGATCTTTAAAAAATCATAAAAAATCGCGGTTTGAACCGAATTAAAAAATTTTTGCGACATTTTTCCCAATTCCGTACAGAGATTTAATTAAGCGCAAAAAATTTTTTGGTGTTATAGGCACTTTAACAAAAGGTGAGACAGATACACATTGCAAGATTAAAGAGACTAACAAGGGAATTAAAACCCACCCTAAATGATAATGTAAGCAGCGAAAAGCTTTATCTTTATTAGTTTGCATTGTTTAAATGCAAATTTTTCTCAGCCTCTGTCATTGTAACTGTTAATTAGTTACTTATTTTAAATTGTAATTTAGTTGTTACTTCTATTCCTGACGGTCACTTCTGAAGATATATGTTGAAACATACGAAACGTCAAGTAAATGAACTTTGTTTTTTAACATGCGTTTTACTGCCATGTTTATCACCGCGGCTTGCGTGTTATTTCTTATCAATGCCTCTCCCTTTCAGCAGCGCCGCCCGGGCGCTTGGACAAGTGGTTTTTTAAACTCTTGATGTGACCGGTTAGATTCAATTTTCTTGGATTTACACTAGTTCAACGCTTCGGCTTCTTCCCAGAACTGCGTACTGGTTGATCTCTACCTGAGACCATTCGATCACACCACCTTATCACAGACCTTCAAAGCTGGATTAAGCATGAGAAGAGTTTTCCATATGTTCTCTAAAACGAAACATGTGAAAGCCACTTTGCAGCAGACTTTTCTTCTGTTTCCAATCCTTATTTTACTAAAATATGTTAAGGTCTGTCGGTGTTGTAATCGAACGGTTTTAGCTCAAGACTATCAAATGGATAACTGCTGTTCAGTTAGTAAAATTCTTGCTCAAAAACTCTTGCTTATCAGATTATGTGACTCTAAAACGACATTTTTCCTCGTTTCATGGCCCTGCTGGCTAAGAAGGGCATGCCGCACTGGGGACAACAATGGTTAGAGCGTTGTTATCGCTCAGAACCGTTCAGAAACAAACTTTTATTCACTGAAAAGATCCCCACATACAAAGCTACTTGTCTAGAGTGAGAGAGGAATAAACTATACCTGGTAAGCTAGTTGGAGAAGCAGACGGCTTATGAGCGGATGAAGTAGTTGAGTTTGAAGGGAAACTAGAAGGCAAACCAGATGAAGGATCATATGTTGCTGTAGTTGGAGGCACGGACGGCTCGTCAGTGGATGAACTTGTTGAGTTAGGAGGCAGACTAGAAGGAGCATATGTTGATCCCGTCGGAAAAGTTGGAGGTGCTGCCGTCTGACCAAAGCAGCTTCCACTGCTAATAGATACATCATCTATGGCTATGTCACCAGTGAAAGACGATCCTCTGATTCCTTCAAATGTCACCTAATAAACAACATAAAAAAGCGTCCGGACGAATTAGCAATAAATTTTGTCTTCTCTAGTTCATTCTTACCAAAAAGGTGAAATTGAAGGAGAACAATGCTGCCAATAGTTGGGCGATTAGGTTAAAAAAACACTGGATAAAACTTGAAGAAAATTTTCAAAAACGCTTAGGGTTAAGTTGATTTCGTTTTTGTTTTCTGTTTTCTGTTTTGTTTTTGTTTTTTGTTTTGTTTTTTCTCAGCTCGTTTTTGATAACAAACGGAGTAACATTGTTTCCTCTCAGCGCTTGAAATGAACATGTCTGTTTCTGAAAGAATGGAGTCTGCATGTGCATGGAAGAATCTGATCTTGTATACTGAGGAGCAAGTGGAAATAGTCCTTTTTGAATGATTTGTTTATTGTTGTTTTTGTTGTTGTTTTTTGTTTGTTTGTTTCGTTTTGTTTAATTTTGTATTGTTTTCTTAATTAATTTAAAGTTCTTGCGTATTCGTTTAACCAAAATTCATGTTATGGTTTATTTAGAGGAGGGTGAAATAATGGATGACTCTCATTGAAACTTACGTCGTAATCCAAATAAATGTTTATTTTGGCTTCTTTCCAGCTGTTGCCATGGTTTCCTAAAGCTTCGAATACCACCGAATTTCCGCTAAAGACTGTTAGAGTCTCTATGGTGTCACCATACATGTGATAAAAGAACTTGAGGCAGGACAGCTGTTTATTGCCAGGTACAGAAAACGTAAGCTTTGCGCTATCACCAGGGACTTTGGGAGAAGACGTCTCGATGTACATGTAGTATCCTGTGAAAATAGAAATCATTTTCTTTTCAAAGTAATTAAAAAACTGGTCATTGTCCATCAATCCAAAGGA